TGTGTGTGTGCGCGCGCGCGCGCACGCACCCACATGTGTTATTGGGGAGAGAGGATAATCATGGAAACACTTCCACATGATCTCAGAAGATCTCAGAAGGATAACATGGGCTCTTAGGTTCTCTGGATTCTCCCAAAGTCACCGACTCTCCCCTTATAAGCGGATCTCTTGTGGAGAATTGCTGAAATAAATTTACATCTTTCCAGGCATCAGAAAACAGTTGGGTTTTTATGTTTGAACACATTGGTCACCTTATTTGAGCCTGAGAAACCAGGATCCAAGGCTACACTGGACTTAACCCATGGAAATAGAGCAGAGTCCAGTGCTGGAGGCTGGCCGCTGGGGGTCCAGGAGCATCCTCAGGGGTCCAGGGTCCAGACTCTCCCCTTATAAGTGGATCTTGTAAGTGTTGATCTCTGGGTATCTGTTGTGCTATAGCTTCCTGTGATGACCCACTACCATAGCCATCCACCAATCCTGAAATGTCACCTTCTCTGTGAAGCACCCCTGCTTACCATAATGAATGCGTCCCCTTTCTGTATTCCCACCACACTTAATCCACTAAGAATATGGGCGTGTTTCTCCTTGAATAGTTCCTTATGAGCAGGGACTATATCCAGTTATGTCTGCATCACCCACGCTGTTACCTCCCCCCATACACTTAGCAAAGACAGATGGATGGGTGGATAGAATTAGTTCATACATGGAATATGGGTGAACTGGGGGGATAAGTGGATAGATGGATGATAGCTAGCAGATTAGGTGATGGATGGATCATTGATTTTAGAGACATGGATGATAAAATACAGATATATGAATGATTCATAACAGATGAATGGATGTTATAGATAAATTGATATTAGATTGATGAAAAGATACTGATGAATTTAATTCATTGGTGGATGGACAGATGTATAATATGATGAATGAATGGATGGATGAATAGGTGGATGGATGGTTGGATGGATGAATGGGTAGATATACGATTATGTGAGAATCACTACTGAGGCAGACGTGCAGAAAATCTAGAAAATTGGGCCCCACTGGATTATAATTGAGGTGGTTTCTAAATTAACCAAGACAATTGTGGCAACCTTTCTGAAAAGCTTTGTTCTGAATAACCCCATTCCCAAAATTCAGGATGGTAATCACCTCTGAGAATGTGTAATGTTTAATTTCTTAAAAATCTATCAGTTCCACTTATATGAATGAATCTAGGATGGGCAAATTCATAGACAGAAAGTACATTAGAGGTTTCCAGAGACTGGAGGGAAGGGGAGAAGGTAGAGTTACTGTTTAAAGAGGTAGGGATTTTTTGTTTGGGATGATGAAAAGTTTTGGAAATAGTGGTGATGGCTGCACAATACTATGAGTGTAATTAATGCCATTGAATTGTATATTTAAAATGATTAAAATGGTAAATTGTATGTGATATATATATATATATATATATATATACAATAAAGAAAATAGTCACATATAAAAAAATCTATCAGAAAAACAAGATTGGAAAAAGTAAGTTTTGATAGATATGAGGAGTTATTACACAGTTGTTCATTACGTTATTTTTTGTCTTTGCTAACATCTGAGATATTCCATAATAAAAAAGAAAGAAGGAAATTCCCCATTCAGATCCAGAGCTCTGACACTGCTCTTGAGAGGTGAGAAACTGTCCCAGGTAGTTTTTCCAGGGCAAGGGGACAGCTGAAATGATGAAGCCTGGGGCCATGTTTACAGGACGGGGAGCTTGTGTGGCTATGAGAGTACCACACATAGCTTGTGTGGCTATGAGAGAAGATGTACTCACCATCTTCAGCGTTATCTCCAAGAGTTCGTCCTCTGTCTTCTGGCGCAGGCAGTGAACAAGGACAGCCGAGGTGGTGCTTTTACACCCAGCAAAGACAGCAATTTTCTGCAGAGATCACAGGTGACAGCAGAATTCAAGATCCCTGCCTCTTCCCTCCATCAATAATGAAGTGTTCTGTTCCAACCTCAATTTCTAAAGTCAACACATGGTAACGAAGATACTCTAGACCAGTATGTCCAGGATCCCAGACATGTCAATTATACTCCTCAGCCTCTGCTGCCTTACCTCTGTTCAAGTGGACATAATGATCTCAAAGCTGAACATCTAAAGAGAGGCAGCATGGAGTGGGGCTTAAGAGCATGGAATCCAGAATCCACTGTCTAATTTCAAATCTCAGCTCACCCAATTAATAGCCTTTTGGCCTCAGGCTAGACACTTGCAAAGTGCAGCCAGAGGGGAAGATGCAGAAGGAGAGAAATCAGGCTCTATGATGGCGGGACCATGGAGAGTGCACATGGGCTGCCCAGAGCCTGGTCCAGTGTCTGACATACAATAAATGCTCAGTATGTATTTGGTGAAAAATTAAATAAAAAGCCACATGAAGAAGTAGAGGGGAGAGAGAGAGAGAGAGAGAGAGAGAGAGAGAGAGAGAGAGAGAGAGAGAGACAGAGGGAGAGAGAGAGAGCACAAGAATATGAGTCTTGGGTTCTTCATTCTGCCAATTTCTGGTCCTGTGTGACAGCAAAATCCAGCACCATTTCTGCCACCTTTGTTTCCTTGAAATAAACTCCCCCTTCTTGACTTAAGCCTGATCAATGGGCTTCTGCTGTTAATAGCCAAAGAATTCTGAAAAACAGTCTCAACAATTTTTTAAATTCTTGGTGTCTTATCTCCTCCCCTCCTGCTTACCAGTCAGTCCCTTTAAGTCTGGCTGCTGCCTGCACCCATCCACCTAACCAGCTCTCACAGCCCGACGAAAACGCTCCACATCAATGACTCCAGCGCACACTCCTCAGCAGAGCCTCCCTGTTGCTCACCCTTCCTTGGCTTCCTAACACTCTCCAAATAAAGACAAAGTCCTCACCGGGTCCTATGCAGCATGGCCCTGCCAATGGCTCCATCCTCACTTCACTCCAGGTTCCGTCTGCTCTTTCTGCTTTGGCCACAGCAGCCTTTCTCGCTCTCTCTCACTTGAGATACCTATTCCTGCCACAGGATATTTGCACAGGCTGCTCTCTCTTCCTGGATATTCTTTTCTTACCAAGTAATTTACTGCTCATCCTTCTCATCTCAACTCGTTGATCACTTTTTTTCACGAAGCCTTTCCTGATAACCTCCCCCTATCCACTGGACTAAGCGCTCCTTTTGGATTCTGTTATGACATCAGGTATCTCTCCTCTATTGCTCTAGTGACAGTTGACATTTTGTAAGTTGTGCAATTATATAATTATTAATCTGTCTCCTCAATTCTAACAGAAGCTTCATGAGGTTGCGAGATGTCAGATTATATCAAAACTATTTGTTGAGTGAATGAATCAATCAATGAATGAATTCTTCAGGAACCCACCCCAGTCACAAGCCCCCAAGGAGAATCCACTCCAGGCCCACATGGTGCCAATGAGTTCATCAGATTTCAGACCCTGAGCGAGGCAAGATAAGATGACAGTTCACTGACCACTGTCCAGGCCAGCACCCCACCTGGAACACTTTGGGAAGCATGGTCAGTGGACCGTGCATGGGGCTGGCAGTCCAGAGTCATGAGCCTGAGTCCGGCTCTGCTCTGATCACTCGCTGACCTTGGCAAGTGCTTCTGCTCTCTGCCCCAATTTGCTCAGCGGTAGAAGGTGGAGGTGGGTTGAGGTGTGTCCTTGCCCTCCCTGCTCAGCCACCCTCACTTCTGTGATTCTTTGGGGATGTCAACTGGCTCCCACAGCAAGAAAGACCCTGACAACTCCAGGAGAGCAGAGCAAAGGGTGTGGGGACAGTCCAGTGTGAGACCTACCTTAGCTGCGGCCTTCATGTCCCTCTTGACCAGGATAGAAGTGAGGGCCACACCACTCTCAGAGATGGCCCGGTGGAAGAGATTCTTGGCCAGGGGAGATAACACCTGGGAACAGGGTGGCAAGAAAGGGAATTTATGCTCATGAGCTATCCCCATCCACAGCCCTGTCCTGGGCTGTTCCCCTGGAGACCATGGGGCCTGGCTTCTGAAAGAAAACCTCGGCTGGAAGGAGCCAGGAGCAGAGTGAAGGACAAAACAGGAAGTGTGTGGCACACACTAATTATAACAATCAAAGTATCTGAAAGGCAGCTCAGCAATTCCTAGCAACACTTTAAAGCACAGTTCTGATTCCCCATTTCCATTACTTAGGATTTATTTTAAGGAAAATGATCATGGAGGCACACAAAAATCTCTAAAATGTTCGTGTTGTTTATAACAGTAAAAATTGGAAATAACACAAGGTTCTAATATATGACATTGGGTAAATAAGGTATTTTTCATTCTTACAATGAAATACTATACTATACTTGGATATACACACAAAAAATATGAAAGAATAACTAATGGTGAGGGAAATATTTGTGTTATAATATTAAGGAAGTTTTTTTGTTTAAAAATTCATAGATACAGATAGATAGGTAGAAAGATGATAGATGATAGATAGATAGATTAATGGAAAAAAGACTAGAAAAATAAAACTGCCCATGGTGACAATCCCTGGCTAATGGGATTGTGGATGAATTTTTATTTTGGGAGAGTTATCTACACTTTTCTTTTTTTCTCCATTTTATAAAATAAAAACATTTTCCTCTGACTATTCAACTATGAATCCAACATATGTTTTAAAAATACAGTAATAGTGTTAACCTTCTGCTCAACTGTGAGGCAGCTGGAGGGTTTCTAACAGCTCCCAGCACCTCTAATCTGGTTTTCCACCTTTGCTCCCCTCAGTGTCTCCCAACTGCCATTCCCACATCAGGCTCCCAGGTCATGTCTGTGTTCCATTTCCCGGGTCCCATCCCTCCTTCCATCCTCCTTCCTCTCTCTACCCCTCCTCCCCCAGCCCAGCTCCATCCTCAGCCCCAGAGGCTGCTGCCCTCCTTCCTGAGCATGAACAAGCCATCAGACCTCCTCAGAGGAGGCCTCTGACCTGTTCTTAGTGTTTGTGTCCCCTTGAATTGTAGATCTGCCTTCAAGCCAAATAATGACATTGCACCCAACGTCATGGTTGCCTCTTTTTATCCAGAATTTACACCCAGCCCTACTTCCCAAGAGGAGTGAGGTGAGTACTAATAGTAAAATGATTAGGAAGGAGAGTAAGAGCTCAACCAACACAGGGCAGGAGGAATGTCTCCGTTGCAGCCGTGGCTGGAGATGTGGCCCCAGGGTGCTAAGCTGAGCTCTGAGCTTCCTGGGGGCCAAGGAGAGTTTGGCAATAACTTTCCACCTTCTGATGCTGCACAGAGTAGGGTCAGCCTTGAATCCAGGTCCCATGACTAGACTGGCTGGTCTGCAAGGGGTCCCATTATAAGGTATTTTTCATTCTTACAATGAAATACTATACTATACTTGGATATACACACAAAAAATATGAAAGAATAACTAATGGTGAGGGAAATATTTGTGTTATAATATTAAGGAAGTTTTTTTGTTTAAAAATTCATAGATACAGATAGATAGGTAGAAAGATGATAGATGATAGATAGATAGATTAATGGAAAAAAGACTAGAAAAATAAAACTGCCCATGGTGACAATCCCTGGCTAATGGGATTGTGGATGAATTTTTATTTTGGGAGAGTTATCTACACTTTTCTTTTTTTCTCCATTTTATAAAATAAAAACATTTTCCTCTGACTATTCAACTATGAATCCAACATATGTTTTAAAAATACAGTAATAGTGTTAACCTTCTGCTCAACTGTGAGGCAGCTGGAGGGTTTCTAACAGCTCCCAGCACCTCTAATCTGGTTTTCCACCTTTGCTCCCCTCAGTGTCTCCCAACTGCCATTCCCACATCAGGCTCCCAGGTCATGTCTGTGTTCCATTTCCCGGGTCCCATCCCTCCTTCCATCCTCCTTCCTCTCTCTACCCCTCCTCCCCCAGCCCAGCTCCATCCTCAGCCCCAGAGGCTGCTGCCCTCCTTCCTGAGCATGAACAAGCCATCAGACCTCCTCAGAGGAGGCCTCTGACCTGTTCTTAGTGTTTGTGTCCCCTTGAATTGTAGATCTGCCTTCAAGCCAAATAATGACATTGCACCCAACGTCATGGTTGCCTCTTTTTATCCAGAATTTACACCCAGCCCTACTTCCCAAGAGGAGTGAGGTGAGTACTAATAGTAAAATGATTAGGAAGGAGAGTAAGAGCTCAACCAACACAGGGCAGGAGGAATGTCTCCGTTGCAGCCGTGGCTGGAGATGTGGCCCCAGGGTGCTAAGCTGAGCTCTGAGCTTCCTGGGGGCCAAGGAGAGTTTGGCAATAACTTTCCACCTTCTGATGCTGCACAGAGTAGGGTCAGCCTTGAATCCAGGTCCCATGACTAGACTGGCTGGTCTGCAAGGGGTCCCATCGGTAGCCACATCACGGCCAGGAACACTTACAAGAATAGAGACACTTGCCCCTCCTGCTGACTCTCCGAAGATGGTCACAGAGCCTGGATCCCCTCCGAAGTTGGCAATGTTCTCCTGGACCCAGTGCAGTGCGGCCAACTGGTCCAAGTGACCCCAGTTCCCCCGGCTGTGTTCATCTCCTGTGCTGTAAGAGAACGGGGGTGGTTGAGAGCAGAGATGTCACAGCAGGGCTCTCAGGACCACAGATGGGGCTGGGGGTCTGGGTGAGCCTTCTGGAACTGCCTCCCATCTGTAGCATTGTTCTGCTGTAGCGCTCTACACATCCATTCCACATTTATTTATTGAGCATCTACTATTCTACAATTCCAAAGGGAATTCCAGGAAGAAGAAACAGCACATGCAAAGGCCCCAGGGTCCAGTGAACAAAAGTGTGGGTCTAGGACATACAGCTACAGAGGGCCCTGAGGGCCTTGGTAAAGATGTCAATGTCATCGTAAGTTAGGAAGCCATTGCAGGGATGACATGATTCCATTTATGTCTTAAATGATCACTTTGGCTACTGTGTGGATCGGACATGGTGTAAAATAGCAGGGTTATAAAAGTAGGTGTTATTACAACAATCCAGGGGAGAGACACAGAGTGCTTTGAACAGGGTGACTACAAGGGAGGTGAGAAGTGGCTGGATTCTGAATATATTGTAAAAGTGGAGCCAAGAGGATTTGCTGGTGACTGGATGTGGGGTGTGAGAAAAAGAAAAGAATCCAAGTGCCCCCAGGCTTTTGTCCTGAGTAACTGGAAGGGTGGAGCTGCCTGCAGCTGAGCAGGAGGCCCTGTGGAGAAAGGAGGAGGGTCTGCGGGGAGGGGCATCGGGAGTCAAGGGTTAAGTTTGTTCGAGGAAGGGAGGAGGTGCCCTCAGGTGTCCCGTGGGGATGGCAGGAGGTAGTTAATGATGTACCTGTGGGTTTCAAAGGAGAAATGGGCTAAAAATAGGGAGCTTGGAAGTGCCCCCTGAGGTCACTCAGGGAACCAGCGGGACAGAGAAGATGCACACAGAGGCTGAGACGGGGAGGGGCCCAGAAGGAGCTGCCATGAGGGAGGAGGTGGCCAGGAGCCAAGAGAAGGAAATTTTTCAAAAAGGTTTGAGGGGTGACGTGCGGTTGCTGCCAAGGCTGGGCCGCTGGTGACCTGGACCAGAGCAGTGTGGTGTCTGGCCGGGGTGAAACCCTGACTGACGTGGTAGAGGAGAGCCTGGGGGGGGGGGGGGTACGCAGATATACTGTAACTGGGAGCAGCCGTGGGCCGTGGGGGAAGGACATGAGGAGTCTCAGTGAAGGCGACACATCCTGGGACATGACTCGCCTGGGACAGCCCTCCTCCAGCCCATAGATCTTTCCAGTGAGATGACCACCCCTCCCCAAGCCCACCCACCAGCCATCTGAGGGTAGGAGGTCCTGGGGCTGGTGCATTCAGTAACTGTGCCTGCAGGATGTCCGGTTCCGTCCCCACGGACGCTCCATGGAGGAGACTCGAGCCTTCGCTCACGCATGTGCCAAACGCCACGAAGGAAATGGGGTGAGTGGGCCCTACGCTCCTCCCCGTAGACGTGTCCACTGGAGCCAGGTGCTCGTTACAGCCTCCAAGTTCCAGCCACCCGTTCCTCCACCTACAAGACTTTACGGAGCTCCCACGTGAGTCTGCTCCTTCCTTACTTCCCCATGAGGTAAGATGTATAAGCCTCTAACTGCTGCGCTGCATGTTAACCGTCACCTTACAGGTATGCAACATGCTGGGCAGCACAGGTGAAAAAGAGATGAGCATTTCAGACGAGGTAACATGTGGGTTGGGCTTTGCAGGAATAATAGGAGTCTGTCTGGCAGATCAGGCATTTTACATGCAAGTAAGTGGACCAGGGTGGCTGGGGAAGGAGAAGGTAGGTAGAGCCCAATTATGAGGGGACTTGCATGTCTTAGTAGGGAACCTAGCAAAGATCCCTTTGAGCGCTTGCATGACCAGAGTGGGGTCCTAGCACTCCCACACTGAGGGTCAATGTGCCGTGAGGAGAGTCCAGTGTCTTACCTGAAGAATCCCCAGATGCCCAGGCGGTACTGAACGGTCACCACCACCACGTTTTCATGGGCAGAGAGGGCCAGCCCATCATAGGTTGATGCCCCGCCCAACATCAGACCTCCTCCGTGGATCCACACCATCACCTGGATGGGGAGGAAGCGATCATACAGGGCATAGGAAGCAGAGCTGGGAAAGACATCAAGAGGCTGTCTGGTTTGGTCATCTACCCATTCTCCCAGCTGTGGCCCAGGCCACCACCCCACTCAGTGCACCCTGGCTGCCCCTGCCTGTCTCCCCTGCGTCAGTGCCACCTCCTGCCAGTGCTCTTCATGCTGAGAACATCATCATGGGAACAGCCAAGGCTAAGAGCGCCATCTTCTCCCCAACACTCCCGCAGTCCTCACTCCCGGACCCCTCACGCAGCTCAGCACACTCCGCATGCGACAGCCCTTGGTTAGAAGCTTATTTCAGCTTCACCTTAGTTACCTTTTGTGTGGTGAAATAAACTTCTCACGTGAATGATGACCATGTCAAGAAGCACACGCCCTGGGTGGTACCTCTTCTTAATAGGCCTTTCCGCTGCCTCCTCTGCTCCCCAAATCTCACCCATCCTCCAAAGCCCAGCCTAAAAGCCACCTCCTCTCAGAAGTCTTCAATCATCTGATGAATATGATTTGAAAACCTACTAGGTGCCAGGGACTGTGGTAAGAATTAAGGATGAGAGTGGACATGACAATTCATAATGCATGGCCCTGAATTTAACGAGTTCACATAGCAAGAAAGTGAGAATGGCTAAAATAATAGTATAATGATTTTGTTAATAAAACAATCAAAGAACTCATACATGAACTATGTGTCAAGTACTGCTCTAAGCATTTAAAAATAAACCATCCACGAGATAGGGACTACTATTGTCCCATTTCACAGACAGGAAAACTGAGGCACTTAACCACCCTGAGGTCACGCAGCTCATAGGCGGTGGAGGCAGGACTTGAACCCAGGCAGTCTGGCTCCAGAGTCCACACGTTGAGCTGCCCAGCACACGGCAGCCAATGGCCACGGTGCAGTAGGCTGGCTGTTGGGGCAGGAGGAATTTCTTCCCTTCAACTCTAACTAGTGCATCAGCAAGACTTACCTCGTGTGCTGTGTCAGACACTGACATAAATCTTGATATTCATCATTGAACATTTGTGTGTGATTATCCCTGGTTTGAGGAAACAGAGCCAGGTCTCTCAGCTAGTAAAAGGCGGAACCAGGACTTACACCCAGATCCTGCGGTGCCAGAGCCTGTATCCATAGTAGAGGTTCTCCAGTTTCCGGTTCCTGGAGCCCCCGCTCCTCCTACATCTCTGATCCCTGCCTACCTCCGGGCAGAGGGACTGAGTGTGCAGTCACCTCTGAGTCCAGGCTGAGCCAAGGGCTGGCCAGCAGTGACTTGCTGAAGAAGCTAGTCCAGCTCTGTGCAACCCAGATGCTAAGATCCTCGAAGGCAGGGGCTGTGTGGTCATGGTTTTATGTTCCTCCTTTCTCTTAACCCCCAATTCTATCTATGCATATGGGGGCGCTGAGTATGTACTAGGGGAATGAATGAAAGCATGAATGAATGAATTAACAATTGTCCCCACCTCTTTGAGCACAGCATGTGCAGGGCCACCTTCTAGTCACAAGTTCACAGATGCCCTCCTCCACATCTGGGCACCATGCCAGAGGTGTTCTTGGGAGATGGCTGGGTGCTCACACCCCGCCTGTCTCTACCCCACTGGCCCCTCCTTTCCCAGCAGACCAGCCCCACCCTCCAGCCTGAGTCTGGAAGGCTGCCCCATCTCTGGGCTTCCATTTATTCTGGAAATGCTGACTCACTGGGACATCAGCTTGTGTCAAAGTAAATTAGGAAGTGAAATTATCTACAATAAAATCTTGATAGTTGGCAAAGACAAAGGAAAGTGCTTCTCTGTTGCTCCAGGCTCTGCACCCTCCACCTGTGACACCGAGACACTGAAAGTTTGTCAGAGAAGGTCTCTGTGTGCTGAGGAAAGGCCACACACAGGCTCCACTTGCTAGTGTGTGTGTGTCAAAGAGCGTGACTTGAAGATCAGGAGACCCGTGCTCTAGTCCTGCCAACCCTACTCTGCGACCTCGCCTTCCCCTCACTGGGCTTCAGTTTCTCTATCTGTAACAGAAGGGTTGGGTTGTTGGCTTATCTCCAAGATTCCTTCCAGCTCTGACTTTATTGGAAATTATGTCTTAGCCACCCTGGGTATCAGATTCCTAATCTAACAATTAAGAGTAATCCTTCTTGTCCATCTATTAGCATGAGAGACCTTAGAAAAATTAAAATGTTCATTACAGATGTACAGCAAACTCCCCCAGAGGCCCTATGTCTGTCACTATGGGAAACTGAGGTGTGGAAAACCTGTGTTCCTTGATGTCAGGTTTGGCTGTGGTGGTAAAGAAAGCCCTGGGGCCCCTGGAACAGCCTTGGTCCAAGACACCCCAACCCAACACTGCCTTCATCCCCCTCCAGTCTACACCAGCCTTGACCATTTGTTCCCACTGCTTACCGGCAGCCTGCTTCTCTTCCTCAGGTCAGCAGGAGTGTAAATATTTAGGTAAAGACAGTCTTCGGAAAACTTGAGATTAATGTTCTCCTTTCTGTTGGTAAAGAGCTCTGAGAGCCTCTGCCCCGCCACTGGGTCTTGGGAGCACCTGGAAGGGGCAAGGAGAGAGAAGAATTCTTGAAGTTCAATCAGAGCTGACCAAGGAGATATCTCCTGCGGTCAGGCCAGGTGTTGGACTGGCAGGTTTAGGGCAGTAAATAGAGTTGTTCTCACCAGACTCAAGACACTGGGTTAGGTAGGAGGCTACTAGGGGCATCTGATGGGGGCTTCTCAGGCTCACCAAGGTCTCTCAGGACCAGGTATGGTGAGGCCTGACCCTCTTCCCTTCCTGGGGCCTTTGGGATGCCCTGAGTCAAGGAAGGAGGCTGCCTATATGCTGATGGGCCTGGGAAAGGACCATTTCCTGCATGCCCTGGGTCCAGACCAGCTCTCCGCTGGGCGCTGTATGCCCGCTATAGGGTGACCATATTCTGCCAACAGGGAAACATGTTCTAGTCTACGGGAGACTTCCATAAACCAGGAGAAATCACTCAAATGGCAGTTATTTACGACCTACAACAGGTCAGAGGTGAAATATTTGTGGGGCAGCTTTAGGGGAACTACGTTCTAGTCCTGCCTCAGCCTAATTTTTTTTTTTTTTTTTTTTTTTTTTTTTTTTTGTGGTACGCAGGCCTCTCACTGTTGTGGCCTCTCCCGTTGCGGAGCACAGGCTCCGGACGCGCAGGCTCAGCGGCCATGGCTCCCGGCCCCAGCCTCTCTGCGGCATGTGGGATCTTCCCAGACCGGGGCACGAACCCGTGTCCCCTGCATTGGCAGGCGGACTCTCAACCACTGCACCACCAGGGAAGCCCATGCCTCAGCCTAATTTGCTGGGTTTCCTTGGGTGAATTCTTTGCCTGCTCTGGGCCCCAGTCTGCTCCTCTGTGTAAATGAGGGGAGTGATTTCCATAAGGGTCCTGCAGCACTGACATGCTAAAATTCTATCATCAACCCATCACAGGCAAGAACTATTGGTTGCCCTAATAGGAGATTTTTTTTTAATCATTTAAATTTTATTTATTTTCTTATACAGCAGGTTCTAATTAGTTATCTATTTCATACATATTAGTATATATATGTCAATCCCAATCTACCAATTCATCACACCACCACCACCACTCCCCACTGTGCTTTCCCCGCTTGGTGTCCATATGTTTGTTCTCCATATCTTTGTCTCTATTTCTGCCCTGCAAACCGGTTCATCTGTACCATTTTTCTAGATTCCACATATATGCGTTAATATACGATATTTGTTTTTCTCTTTCTGACTTACTTCACTCTGTATGACAGTCTCTAGGTCCACTCACGCCTCTACAAATGATTCAGTTTTGTTCCTTTTAATGGCTGAGTAATATTCCATTGTATATATGTACCACATCTTCTTTATCCATTTGTCTGTCGATGGGCATTTAGGTTGCTTCCATGACCTGGCTATTGTAAATAGTGCTGCAGTGAACATTGGGGTGCATGTGTCTTATCGAATTATGGTTTTCTCAGGGTATATGCCCAGTAGTGGGATTGCTGGGTCATATGGTAATTCTATTCTTAGTTTTATAAGGAATCTACATACTGTTCTCCATAGTGGCTGCATCAATTTACATTCCCACCAACGGTGCAAGAGGGTTCCCTTTTCTCCACATCCTCTCCAGCATTTGTTTGTAGATTCTTTGATGATGCCCATTCTAACTGGTGTGAGGTGATAACCTCATTGTAGTTTTGATTTGCATTTCTCTAATAATTAGTGATGTTGAGCATCTTTTCATGTGCCTCTTGGCCATTGTATTCTTCTTTGGAGAAATGTCTGCTTAGGTCTTCTGCCCATTTTTTGATTGGGTTGTTTGTTTTTTTATTTATTTAATTTATTTTTTTAACATCTTTATTGGAGTATAATTGCTTTACAATGGCGTGTTAGTTTCTGCTTTATAACAAAGTAAATCAGCCATACATATACATATATCCCCATATCTCTTCCCTCTTGCGTCTCCCTCCCACCCTCCCTATCCCACCCCTCTAGGTGGTCACAAAGCACCAAGCTGATCTCCCTGTACAATGTGGCTGCTTCCCATTAGCTATCTGTTTTACCTTTGGTAGTGTATATATGTCCATGCCACTCTCTCACTTTGTCCCAGCTTACCCTTCCCCTTCCCCGTGTCCTCAAGTCCATTCTCTAGTAGGTCTGTATTTTTATTCCCATCCTGCCCCTAGGTTCTTCATGACCATTTTTTTTCTTAGATTCCATATATATGTGTTAGCATACAGTATTTGTTTTTCTCTTTCTGATCTGACTACCTTCACTATGTATGACAGACTCTAGGTCCATCCACCTCACTACAAATAACTCAATTTCGTTTCTTTTTATGGCTGAATAATATTCCATTGTATATATGTGCCACATCTTCTTTATCCATTCATCTGTTGATGGACACTTAGGTTGCTTCCACGTCCTGGCTATTGTAAATAGAGCTGCAATGAACATTGTGGTACATGACTCTTTTTGAATTATGGTTTTCTCAGGGTATATGCCCAGTAGTGCGATTGCTGGGTCGTACAGCAGTTCTATTTTTAGTTTTTTAAGGAACCTCCATACTGTTCTCTATAGTGGCTGTACCAATTTACTTCCCCACCAACAGTGCAAGAGGGTTCCCTTTTCTCCACACCCTCTCCAACATTTATTGTCTGTAGATTTTTTGATGATGGTCATTCTGACTGGTGTGAGGTGATACTCATTGTAGTTTTGATTTGCATTTCTCTAATGATTAGTGACGTTGAGCATCCTTTCATGTGTTTGTTGGCAATCTGTATACCTTCTTTGGAGAAATGTCTATTTAGGTCTTCTGCCCATTTTGGGATTGGGTTGTTTGTTTTTTGATATTGAGTGGCATGAGCTGCTTGTAAATTTTAGAGATTAATCCTTTGTCAGTTGCTTCATTTGCAAATATTTTCTCCCATTATGAGGTTTGTCTTTTCATCTTGCTTATGGCTTCCTTTGCTGTGCAAAAGCTTTGAAGTTTCATTAGGTCCCATTTGTTTATTTTTGTTTTTATTTCCATTACTCTAGGAGGTGGGTCAAAAAAGATCTTGCTGTGATTTTTGCCAAAGAGTGTTCTTTCTATGTTTTCCTCTAAGAATTTTACAGTGTCCGCTCTTACATTTAGGTCTTCAATCCATTTTGAGTTTATTTTTGTGTACGGTGTTAGGGAGTGTTCTAATTACATTCTTTTACATGTAGCTGCCCAGTTTTCCCAGCACCACTTATTGAAGAGATTGTCTTTTCTCCATTGTATATCCTTGCCTCCTTTGTCAGAGATTAGTTGACCATAACTGCGTGGGTTTATCTCTGGGCTTTCTATCCTGTTCCATTGATCTATATTTCTGTTTTTGTGCCAGTACTATATTGTCTTGATTACTGTAGCATTGTAGTACAGTCTGATGTCAGGGAGTCTGATTCCTCCAGCTCCGTTTTTTACCCCTCAAGATTGCTTTGGTTATTCGGGGTCTTTTGTGTCTCCATACACATTTTAAGATTTTTTGTTCTAGTTCTATAAAAAATGCCATTGGTAATTTGATAGGGATTGCATTGAATCTGTAGTTTGCTTTGGGTAGTAGAGTCATTTTCACAATATTGACTCTTCCAATCCAAGAACATGGTATATCTCTCCATCTGATTGTGTCCTCTTTGATTTCTTTCATCAGTGTCTTATAGTTTTCTGAGTACAGGGCTTTTACCTCCTTAGGTGGTTTATTTCTAGGTATTTTATTCTTTTTGTTGCAATGGTGAATGGGACTGTTTCCTTAATTTCTCTTTCTGATTTTCACTGTTAGTGTATAGGAATGCAAGAGATTTCTGTGCATTAATTTTGTATCCTGCAACTTTACCAAATTCATTGATTAGCTCCAGTAGTTTTCTGGTGGCATCTTTAGGATTCTCTATGTATAGTGTCATGTCAGCTGCAGTGACAGTTTTACTTCTTCTTTTCCAATTTGGATTCCTTTCATTTCTTTTTCTTCTCTGATTTCTGTGGCTACTACTTCCAAAACTATGTTGAATAATAGTGGTGAGAGTGGACATCCTTGTCTTGTTCCTGTTCTTAGAGGAAATCCTTTCAGTTTTTCACCACTGAGAATGATGTTGGCTGTGGGTTTGTCGTATATGGCCTTTATTATGTTGAGGTGGGTTCCCTCTATGCCCACTTTCTGGAGTGTTATCATAAATCAGTGTTGAATTTTGCCAAAAGCTTTTTCTGCATCTATTGAGATGATCATATGGTTTTTATCCTTCAGTTTGTTAATATGGTGTATCACACTGATTGATTTGCATATACTGAAGAATCCCTGTGTCCCTGGGATAGATCCCAGTTGGTCATGGTGTATGATCCTTTTAATGTGTTGTTGGATTCTGATTGCTAGTATTTTGTTGAGGATTTTTGCGGCTACATTCATCAGTGATACTGGTCTGTAATTTTCTTTTTTTGTAGTATCTTTATTTGGTTTTGGTATCAGGATGATGGTGGCCTTGTAGAATGAGTTTGGGAGTGTTTCTTCCTCTGCAATTTTTTGGGAGAGTTTGAGAAGGATAGGTGTTAGCTCTTCTCTAAATGTTTCATAGAATTCACCTGTGAAGCCATCTGGTCCTGGGCTTTTGTTTGTTGGAAGATTTTTTAATTACAGTTTCAATTTCATTACTTGTGATTGGTCTGTTCATATTTTCTGTTTCTTCCTGGTTCAGTCTTGGAAGGTTATACCTTTCTAAGAATTTGTCCCTTTCTTCCAGGTTGTCCATTTTATTGGCATAGAGTTGCTTGTAGTAGTCTCTTATGATGATTTGCATTTCTGCAGTTTCTGTTGTAACTTCTTTTTTATCTAATTTTATTGATTTGAGTCCTTTCCCTCTTTTTCTTGATGAGTCTGGCTAAAGGTTTATCAATGTTGTTTATCTTCTCAAAGAAGCATCTTTTAGTTTTATTGATCTTTGCTACTGTTTTGTTTCTATTTCATTTACTTCTGCTCTGGTCTTCATTATTTCTTCACTTCTACTAACTCTGGGTTTTG